ATAGGCAAGGCCAGCCTAGACCAGCCGACAGCAACTGCATGAGCAACAGGAATGTTTATCGCCATATGGCCCCCAAGAACAGGCAGCTATTTGTTTTACTGCAAAAACTAACTGATACAGTCTGGGATATGGGAATGGATTTGTCATAACTAACCCTTCTTTGGAATGGTACCTAAGATTACAAGATTTTATTTATATTCAGGGTCTGTTATGTTTCCCCCCCAGATTCACACATGTTGGAATCCTAACCCACCATGTGATGGCATTAGGAGGGGGTCATTTGGGAGGTGATTAGGTCATGAGAGAGGAGCCCTCATGAATAGGATTAGTGTTTTTATAAGAGACCCCACAAAGCCCTCTCACCCCTTCTGCTATGTGAGGATGCAATAAGAAGTCAGTAACCCTGCTGAGGTCTCTCACCCAACCACGATGGTACTCTAGCCTCCCAACCGTGAGAAATAAGTGTCGGTGGTTATAAGCCATCCAGTCTAGTATTTTGTTACAGCAGCCTGAATGAACTAAGATAGGGCCTAACATTTTGAGTAATGAATGAGATCCTTATTACTTGCTACACAATTTCAATTTCATTCAACATTTTAGAAGTGCAGTTACTATTGCCAGAAAATATTTACTATCTTTACAGAAATGTTTGCCCAGTTGTAATTCATCTTTTGGCTCAGGGTGGGGGAGTGGGGATCACTTTCCCTGGATGAAAAGGAAGCTAACACATTTGGAGATCTGCCATCAAGGAGGCAGGGCAGGGGCTGAATTTCTCTGGCAACCAATAGTGTCCGTGACAGGGGACCAGAGCCACCCACTCTACCTGCCCGAATTACCATGACCCAGGACAAACGTGAGACACAAGACAAAGTCAGTATCAGATACAGTCATTATTTCATGGCAGAAAATGAAAGTAGGTCGGGGAAATGGCCTGTTTTTCAACCATTCACAGTTGAAAGGTTGGCCAAAGTTACTTTCTTGGTAAGTCTTTTGTCATCTTCTGAAGAGTCAGAGACAATAAAATTATCCTTTTTCATCCATCCATGTATTCACCAAGTGTTTATTAAGTACCTATTGGGAACTATATTCATTTCCTAGTGCTGCTGTGACAAAGTACCACAAATTGGGGGGCTTAAACAACAGTCTCAGTTCTCACAATTCTGGAGGCTAGAAATCTGAAAATAAGGTATCAGCAGGGCGGTTCCTTGTGGAAGATCTGAGGGAGAATCTGCTCCAGGCCTCTCTCCCAGGTCCTGTTTAACCCACAACAGGAACATATTTTGAGGCTTAACAAGGCCACAGCACACTTGGACTCATCCTCAAAGGAGTAGAAAGAAGTCAAGGAAGGAAAATAGGAAGAGGGGGAAAATAAAAAAGGGGAGGAGGGTGAAAGAGAAGAGTAGGCCTAGGAAAGAAAGAGGGAAGAAAAGTTGGAGGGAGGCAGGACCAACTACATAATCTGTGGGGCCCAGCACAAAATTAAAATGTGGGATCCTTTATTAAAAAATTAAGAATTTCAAAATGGTGACAGCAAAACCTTAAGCCAAGCACGAGGTCCTTCTGAGCATCGGGTCCTATGTGACTGCCCTGTGTGGAAGATGTACTAACTGTATTTTGAGTCCATTTAAGATTTCCTTGTTTGCTTTTTTATCTGTATTCTTTGTGACGTGCCTATGGAGCAGTTTATCTACAGCAGGTCTATTCTTGGCTTAGGGCCCTTCTAAGATCCTATCTCTCAAGGAGAAAATAGTTTAGGGAGATGGTGACTATCCAAAAGGGAAAAGCTCTTCTCCCTAGCCCCACAGAATGTCTGCATAACTCCCTCAGGACATCCCAAAATTACCTTTCCTTTCCTTTCAGTTGTTTGGATTCTTAACTAGGACCCATAACGCCAGGCATGCAGGTTTCACTGCCTGCCAGCTTAAGACTTTTCACTTAAGGCAGTTTTACCAGCTTCTCCCTGTTTAACCAGGTCACTGTGGTCCACAAGACACCTGCTTCACCCTGTCACCAAAGCAAGTTCAAGAAAACACAGTGGTTCCTGACCACTGGATTTGGATCCAACTTCCTCAGCTGGGCATCCAGACCTCCTTTACCCCACAATGTTCACAGGACACAAGCTCCCATGTTCTTTGAGGTCATCCTTCCGTTTTTGTCAAGACAGTCTTGAGTCACTTTACACTACCTCCAAGATACTGGCCCAGGCTCTTCCTACACCAGGACCCAGGCTCCTCCCTCTGAGTGTGAACTCTTTGAGGGCAGGGGCTAATTATACTCATCCTTGACTCTCCAGTGTCCAGCACAAAACATACTGCACTTTCACAAGTGTTTAAGGAATAAGGTTGACGAACTGACACAAGGGATTTCCAAAGCATTTATAATTTAAATGCACATAATCACTTACCTCTAGGCAAACTTGTTTCTTTTCTGGCTCTTGGTTAACATCTCTTTCTAAGGAATTTCAGGACGTAGGTTTATGTGGCCGAGAACCTGTCCTTTTTCTTTTCATTTTTTAAAAATAGTTATTTTCAAACAGCACATAGGAGGCATCCAAATGTTTCTTTACTGGGTCCTAAAAGTCTTCTAGAAATGTAAGAATTCATGGGTAAAAAGAAAACCTAGGGAAAATCCTCCTTCTCCCTACAAATTTTATTTAACACAACAAATGTAAACAAGAATAATCTTGTAAAACATTTTTTAAATCGTAAAGTAAGTTCTCTGTGCTCATATTCTGGTCTTTACATTTCTGGGTTCAGAAGTTCCGCAGCAGGGCATCTGGGACAGTCCCCAAACAGCCTTCTGTTTAGACTCACCGGCCTTTGCCGCGTTTCTCCCGCCGCCCTTTGACGCTTTGGAACACGATCCCGCCCCCTTCCGGCCGCGGTGTCCAAAGCACAGGAGCAACTCCGGGAGCCAGTCATCAACAGCCCGGTCTCGTGATAATGTTTGCGCATGTGCAGAAAAGGACAGGCTGATTGCACGGGAAACTTCAGGGCTGAGATGGCTTCAAGATTCAGTCAGCGCATGCGCAGAGTGGAGGAACGTGGCGGAGGGTGAGCGAGCTTTCACGCATACTCATTTAAATAAGCCAAGACGTTTTTCACCTCAGCTTCACAGCCCGCCTCCTTTCTCTAGTAACCCTTTCTCTTTTAAAGGGCCAGAGTCCTTTTTCACCAAATTACTTTTGTGAAAACTAAGCGTTTATTGAAAGCCTACTACGTTTCTGAACCCAGAAATGTAAACTTCCCAACTTACATTGCCTCCTGTATGCATATTTCAATTTTTCCGTTTGTAGTAATTGTAATAATTACGTTGATATGGAGGTTTTTGTATAAATTTCTTCGCCCCAATTGCACAATTCCCTTGGAGGCAGTTCTCTGAAAATGGGAGGTGATACGATGTTCTGGGCAGGTCTTCTTAGGTCAAGAGGTCTGCGATTGAATCCTGGCTTGGCCACTTCTGTCCTTTTACTCTGGATATCTTACCTAACTTCTGGAACCTGAGTTTTCTGAGTTTTAAAATGAAGATAAGGATTCCTATTTACTCATAGAATAATTGTGAAAAGTACACTTTTTAAAAAAAGTCTCATACCAGCTATCCGTTAAATAAATAAATATGTAATAGTCATTAAGTGGCATTACTCGGTCAGAAAATAGCTTTATAGTTTTCTAACATAATTCCAAATGGTTCTTCAGGAGGATTTACATAATTCTAGGATGGCTAGCAGTATATAATGGTGCCTCTTTCCCCACAGCACTACCTATATCACAGTTCATCATTTTTAAATATTTTTCTTAGTCGAGACAGTATGTAATGGTATGGCAGGATTATTTTAACTTTCATTTCTTTAATTGCTGGTGAAGCTGTGCATTTTTCTTTGTGATGATTTATTAGCTGTATTTCTTTGCCTAACAACTATTTTCAAACCTTGTAATTTCTACTGGCTTATTCCTGCAGACATTATGTTAGGTTCTGACAGAACATTTTGCTGACCGATTTAAAAAACAAGAAAGAAACAGGGTTGAAGGGAGAGAAAGAAGTAAAAGAAAATTTACCAAGGAAGCAATAGAGGGTAGAGGGCAGAGCTCATCCCAAAAGCAACACTGTCTAGGAGAACTTTCTATGATAAAGGAAATGTTTTGCATCTGCACTGTCCCATGTGGTAGCCAGTTGCCACATAGGCCTACTGAATACTTGGAATGTAGCTAGTGTGACTGAGGAACTGAATATTTATTTTTATTTAACTTCAATTTCATTATAAATAACCACCTCATTGATGGCATAATACTAGAGATTAGGAAAGGAAAGGAGGTGAAAAGATGGGCCCTACAGAGTCACTCAGAAGTGGCTTCAGATATATGAAGGGACTCAAATTTAGACTTTTGGCATTGTTCCCAAGAAAGAGTCCTGGAGACAGTCTTAACAAGGTTTGTCTTGACAAGTGTTCATTTTGCAGAAAACTATCATGCAGTTCACCGATATTTTCACTTTTCTACACCTATTTCACACGTCAATAAAAGTTAAACATTTGCCACACTGTGTGTTACCTTCCTTAGGCATTTCTTTGATTTTTAATCTAGCCAAAATCTTAAAAATATAGAAGTCACATGTGACTTGCTCTGGACACCTAAGGGCCCCTAGAGGGCACTCACCCTCCATGGGATACGTTTTTAAACAGCTTTATGGAGAGAATTCACATACCACACAATTCTCTCATTTCATGTGTACAATTCAGTGGTTTTCAGTATGTTCAGAGTTGTGCAGCCATCACCACAGTCAGTTTCAGAATATTTTTATCACTGCAAAAGACTCCCCCCTGGCCTTTTATCACCCTCCCATCTCCCCATCCCCCCCACCCCCAAGTAACCACTGATTTACTACTCTCTAGATTGGCCTATTTGGGACATTTCATATGGATGGAAATATATAATGTATGATCATTTGTGATTGGCTTTTTTCACTTAGCATCATGTTTTCACGGCTCATCCTTGTCATAGCATGTCTCATTATCTCATTCATTTTTCATGGCTGAATAATAGTCTACTATATGGATGGAGCACATTTCACTTATCCATTCATCTTTTAATAACCATTTGGGTTCTCTCCATCTTTTATCTATTACGTACGTTGGACACTTTTCCTGGTCCTGACAGTTGGGTCCTTCCTGCCACTTCTAAAAAGGGGGAGACTCAGGTTGCTCAGCTCCAGAAGGCCCATTCTCATTTAAGACAGACAGTATTCTCAGGAGTGTGAATGATGCCCCCTGGAGTTGAGACAACTCAGCAAGTGTTGGAGGAAATCTGGGGAATCTCTTCCCAGTAGGGAGCATCCAGGCTTACCACTGAAGCTCTGTGCCCAGGGAAGTGTACATAGGACCATGCTTCCCAAGAGAATGTTTATCTGTGGGCATGTAAAGGAGTCCTTCTCAACCCCAGACTACACAGAAGAACTGCCTTCACCCAAGCTGTAAACAAGGTCCTTGAGAGGAGACCAGCCAAGTTGTAGCTTTCAAGCCTGGTAAGTATTAGAGGGTATTTGGGACAAGAGTCCTCAAGCTTGATGCTCCTGGCACTTCAGTACTGGAAAGTGGCAAGCCCATAATACCTACTCAGGACTTTGCAAATAATGCAACCAGATTCTAACCCCATACGGAGAACAATCTCATGGATTTGTAACCTTCCCATCCAGCTGGCCTGTGGGTGCAAAAAACCTTAACCTGCCCCAGATTCTTCTTTAGGGGACAATCCTAGCTTCTCCTGAGCTAGGGTCTGATTAGGGGCTGTGAAAGGGCTCCTTGCAGGGGAGGACTGAGGCGTAGGGCTGTATCTTAGCATGCCATAGGGAGAGAGGAGATTCTAGATCATGGAAAGCTCTGGACAAAGCAACAAACCAAAGAACAGTGTGTACCAGGACAAAGCCCACTGGGACTGCTGGCCAGGCACCTGAGGAGAGGAGAATGTCGTGATGTGTACCACATGGTCAGGAACATGACTGACCAGAGGCAGACTCTGGACTCTAGTTGGGCCAATTATGAATTTAGAATTAGGGTCTGGAAAGGGCCAATTTCTTTGTGTGATTGGAAACAATGTGACATAAGGGACAGCTATTTTCATCATGAGCATGAGAAAGCTGAAGGAGACACACAGAGGGATGTGGAGAGAGTAACTTTGCAGTTGACAATTTTCCAACACCCTTGTATCCTTGTTAAATTTCCTTTATTGGGTAGTACTAGATGGTGTCTCTACTTGCAACCAAAAGAAAGGTGAATAAGGCAAGAAGACACATTGTGCAGGTTCTGTGTCTATCAATTACTGTCTACTGAGAGAGAAAGACATACACTGAACAAATTAGATATAAACAATATGTTAAGTGTGGAAATCAGAGCCAAATTCCCATTCCAATGGGAGTGAAGAGCAAAGCAATGAAGGAGAACTCACTGGTAATCAAAGAAAAGCCTATCAAAGCAAGATTTTTTTTATATGAGATTGGTAAAAAAGCCTTAAAAACAATAATACTCCATGTGGGCAAAGGACAAACATGAGAAAAGCCAGACACTCTATTTTGCAGTTGGAACTGGTACAATCATTTTGGAGGGCAATTTGGCACTATATACAAAGAACTCAAAAATGCTCATACCCTTTACCCATAATTCTGCCTCTTGGAATCTGTCCTAAGAAAATAAGCAGTGATGTCCTCCACAGGTATGTGGAAAGACATTCATCAGATCAACATGCATAGAAGTGATCTGGCCAGAGGCCAAACACAGCCAGCAGAAGGCGGCTCCCCTGACAAACAGAGTACAGCAGGGGAAGGGCAGAGAATGGCTCTGAGAAGAAAATGGCTGATGAGCAGCACACTTGCCCTTCTTCCATTCAACAAAGATGTGCCAAGTGCATATTATATACCAGGACTGTGTTAGATATTGGGAGTGCGGCCTGGAATAAGTAGCACAGAGAGAGAACAGAATTTGGAACAAGAGAGAAGTGCTTCTGTACATTAAAAGGAAGCCTGTGCTCCAAGAAGGCTGCCTGTAGCCCATACTATGTTTTTGTGCAAATTAGAAAATTAATCCCTCCAGGAGGGTACAGACCTTTGGGCACACAGCTTGGCAAGTGGCTGGGCCAAGCTGCATATTCCCAGGCAGGATACTATTTCCACCGACAGGCCTGGAGATTCTGCTCAGTCAGTCTTACCCTGAGGACCAAAGACTCTTGAGCAGAAACCACTGAAAACACATCATTCATTCATTCATTCATTCATATGACAAATATTTATTGAGTGACTATGAAGTGCCAGGCATTTCTTCAAGATCCTTGGGAGACAGCAATGAAAAAAACATAGAAAGTTCTCTGACTTCAAAAATGGTAACATGCCGGTAACAGCTGAATATAGGCAGAGGTTATAACAGGTATTCATTGTCCTTTATTAGCTAGGTTTTTCTGTGTGTTTGAAATTTTTCACTTAAAAGTTGGAAGAAAAAAACCTTTACTTTCAAAGAGACAGAAAATAAGTGTGTGTATATGTATATATATAGTATGTGTATATATGTTGATAGATATAGTGATGCCAGGTGCTAAAGACAACATGCAATAAGACTGAGGCTGGGAAAACAGGTTAGGACATACATATGGAAATCACAATTTTAAATAAAGTGATCCAGAAACTCCTTACTAAGAAGGCTATGTTTGAACGAGACCCTGGAGGAGAGGAAGGAATGACCCAGGCTGCTGTCTGGAAGAAGAGATGTCCTGGCACAGAGCACAGAAGAGACAAAGGCCCTGAGCAGGAACATGACCAACTTCTTCCAGGAACAGCAAGGAAGCAAGTGTGTCGCTGGAAAAGAGTGACATTGGGTGCTCAGATTAGGGCACAAGGTCAGAAAAGAAAAGGGAAGGAAGTGGGCATATGGCACAGGGCTTTGAAGGCTACTGGAGGGACTGTGGCTTTTTCTCTGAGTGACAAGGGGAGCCACTGTGAGAATGTGAGTTTAGGAGCTAGGAGTGACGTGGGCCATGGGACAACTCTCTATGTAAAATACATGTATCTCCCAGGGATGGAGGGTCTATGCAGCTTCCCTCAGACTCTCAAAGGAGTCTTGCAGAACCCCACAAGACTAAGAACTGGTGTGATGTTGGTTTCTCGCAACTGGCGGAAAAGCCTTTAACCCTTTTCTGTCTGCTTTGGGCGTTGTATTTGCCCGGGAATCCCCAGACCGGAGGAGGGGACATCAGCTCCCTGGTTATACAGTGGCCCACGACCCGCGGATACCAGGTCTCCCGGCTCGCCCACCAGCCTTTGGCCACCAGGCCAGGGTACCAGCAGACACTCGACCTCTCCAGACCCAAAGATGTCCTTCCCGGGACGCCGGACCCGCAGGAAGGGGCGGGCACTGCAGAATGGCCTCGCGGGGCCCCGCGTTGCCATAGCAACCCACGCCGGCGCCCGGACGCCGGAGTGCTTGCAGCCCGCGACCTCAAGCCTCTCCCCGCAGGGAAGCAAAGGTTAGCGGGCTCTGTGGGACCCGGCGGAGCTCTAGATGGAACCCCCGACTCCCCAAGCCATCTGGGCCCCGCCCCTCCACCTTCCGTGTTGGTACTGAGTGGTGTTTAGCACCAAAACAACCCGGGCAGAATCCGCGCTGCAAGGCTTTCTTTTCCTATAAGTAGCTTCTGTATTAAGACTGCTACCTCCTCTTGAATAGACCCTATTTTCCCCAAAGTGTTGGACAGAGATGACTTTATATTACAATGATGAGGCATTAAATAACACACAGTGACATCGTAAGGAAGCTAGATTAGTTCCTAGGTTCCCTTACAATTCTGAATAAGCCAAGGAGGAAGTGTCAGTTCGGGGCTATAGAGCATTAACACGTTCCTGAATATTTGCTAATCTCAACCGTAAACCACAATGCGAGCTAAGACTTAGATTGCTTTCTTATGAGTATATCAAATTTTTTACCTTCTCCTTACAGTACCTGATACTAGCTTTCTACTTATAGTAATGATATGTAAGCTAGGAAACACCTCAGTCCTGGGCAAACTGGGATAGCTGGTCACCCTAGAAGCGGTATCTGTACTTGGTGGGCTCTCCTGACAGTTGGCAAACTGCTGCAAAGCTAGCCCCTGGATTTTTTCACCATCCTATCCACCAGACAGATGAGTGTGGACCAAATAGCTAAAGTTCTGGGTGCTGGGCAGGGATTGGATTGGGGGTATGGGGGATGTGTCCCTGTGGGCTGTTGTGGAGCAGTAGTCTGCCAGTCCAGAGCAACCTGGCAACCACTCCCCTGGAGTGGACCCCAGTGCTCACCACTGGGGGCTCCAGGCCAAGTTCCAGCTTTAGGGCCAGCATCCACTTAGTTGGCCATACTGGTCATTAAATATATGACTGCTACCCCCTGCTCAGAGCAGGTTCATCCTGATGCCATCATAAACCCCCTCCTCAACTGGTTTCCCGGGTTCCCAAGCAATTGTGCCATCAGACATCCCCCAAGGGGGCCCCTGGAGAAGCAAGAGAGGGGACAGCCAAGGGTCAGTCCAGCACAAGACTCCCTCAAGGGCTGCTCATCTGCCCCGGGTACTCAGAACACACATGACGCACCCAATCTAAGCTTAGGCAGGTGCCTCCCTGGAAGCCCCAGGATCCTGGCATTACTCCAGGTGCACTGAGCCCCTGAGGCCCGTAACCCTTTGCTAGCACTCTCTGGCCCCACAGAGGCAGCCAACATGCCTATCTCCAAGTGCCCACAAAAGTCAGAGCCCCTGTGGAAGGAGTGGGACCAAAAAGCCCAGAAGAATGGTCTGAGGCACCAGGTGTATGCTGTCAATGGTGACTGCTACGTGGGTGAGTGGAAGGACAACATGAAACACGGTGAGTGGGGACCCTCGGGGCTCAGGTGGTGAGTGTGCGGTCTGGACCACGGCGGGCTACCAGGTCCAAGGCAGCTTGCAGAACTCACTGGGAACATAAGATGTGTCCCTGAGGCTCCCCCAAGGTGTGAATGCTGACCTGGACAAGCCAGGGGCTTCCACATGCTGGGGCTCTGGAACCCAACTCAGCCCTGACTTCAGCTGAGCAAAGGTCTCAGGGACCAGCAGAGGACAAAGTCACCTTGAGACAGCAGCCACACCCTGGGTTCTAGGGTCTCCAGATTGGTCCCTTCACTTTGGGACCTGGGATAAGCATGGGGCTGGCAAGCAGGAGGAAAGGGCCGCTCCCAGAAACCAGCTTGCAACTGGGAATCTGGTCTTCAAACTCTTCAAACCCCCTGACAAGGTGTCTGACCAGCAGGGGGTGAGGGAGGACACCACCCACCTCCAAGAAGTAGCTGGGGCTTCAACTTTAATTGGGCTGGACTCCTATTATACCAGCCACTCCTATTATACCACGGGGCATGGGGGTCCCTGTGATACAAACTAAACCCTGAAAGGGGGGGGAAAAAAGGGTTTTATTAAAAAAAATGTGGTATGGTTTCTCACTCCAGTCTAACAATTCCAGATTTTATGCTCTTAACTACTCTTCTATCCTGCCTTCCAGCAGTAAGATCTTTGGAGTCCATAACCCTGTGTCAGGATCTTTGCTCCCCCAACTATGACCTTGAGTGATTCACTACAACACTCTGAGCCTCAGTTTCCCTTCTTTAAAGTTGGAGTAATACCTGTCTGTAAAGATAAGAGATTATATCTATCAAGCGTTTAGACCAATGTCTGTGCCGAAGAGGAACTTCTGGAATGTTCTCTGAGGGATGAGCATGGCAGGGATCACTACTCAGAGCCTTCCTTGTCCGAGCTGCCCTCCAAAGCTGACCCCACCCAGTGTGTGACACAGCACCCACCCTCAGCACTGGCTTAAAGGCCAGGCTTTACAAGGCTGCTTGGAGGTCTGTGCGTAAAGATGCTTGAATATGTGCTTCAGTCCTTGTGCTCAGCATATGGGGTGGACAGAGCCCTGGGTCCTGAAGTTCTGAGACTGGCTCTACCACTGAGTGGCTGTGTGACTTTAGGTAAGTCATTTCCCATTGTCTCAATCGTGGCTGCCTATGAAATTGTGTTGTGGGCTGATGTGGACCTCTGAGCCCTCCTTCTGTGTGAGTCCTGCCTCCCCTCAGACCCTGGAGGCATAGAGCTAATGGGGTTGGGGCTGAAGAAAGCAGACCTGTCAAATAATCCAGGCTTAGCTCCTTCTCTCTTCAAGACATGCCTTTTGACTAAGCTGAAGTGGGTTGCTGTAGTATAAGCAGATTGGAAGTGGTCAAGACAGTGGTTGTGCAGGGCAAGGAGAGGGTTGCCTGGTGGTTCCCTGGACTGCTATAAATTCACTCCATTAACGTGTTGAACTTCTGGTCCTGGGTGTCTGGCATAATCCCAACCCTCAGGGTGCTTTTGGTCATAGAGAACCTGCACAAGAAGTAATTTCACAGATGAGGAAGCTGGGGTTCAGAGAGAGGAAATGACTTACTCAAGGTCACACAGCTAACCGGGGGGGGGGGGTACCAGAGAAGAGATGTGAAAGGGGCCATAAGAACATAGACAGTCAGAGAGGTAATGTCTCAGCTGAGCCCAGAGGGATGAGAATGATTAGCCAGGCAAAGGAGCACTTCTTTTAGATAGTGGAATCAAACAGAGGGATGCTTTGGGTTATGTCTTGTTTAAGGAACAGACTTGTTTAAGGAATAAGCCAGTGTGGTTAGAGCAGAAAGGGTGAGAGGGCAAGAGAGCCGGAAGGTCTGGTGGGAGGGTCAACCACCCAGCACCTCTTAGGCCAGGGTAAGTTTTGCCTTTACCCCGGAGGCAAACAATCTCATTGGACCAGTGTGGGCCACATGCCCTTCACTTAACCAATCACAGTGGCCTGGGTGGGTAGAAAACACTGATTGGCTAGGCTTACCAGAGGAGGCGTCATCCCGTTACAAACTTCAGAGGTTGAGGGCGCTGGTGAGCTGGTTCCCCAAAGGAAAGAAAAGTAGGAGAAAGATGCATGCAAATAACCCAATGTTCTCTATAATGTAATGGGGCCATACCTAAAGGGCAAAAATAATTGTTGCCCTCTTTCCTATTTGCAGGCAATGTTATAAATGTTCTGCATATATTAATGAATTTAGTGATTAGAACAAACCATAACCCCATGAGATATTCTTATTCCCATTTTACGGGTGAGGAACCTGAGGCCCAGAGAATTTATGTTACTTGCCCCAGATCCAAAAAGCTCACGGGGACTATGTTGGATGTGTTCCAGAGCTACCAAGGAGCCAGACATGACTTGGCCCATATTGGTACCCCAGATATTTTGTTCATCCCTTCATTCAACAGATGTCTTTGTTCAACAAATATTAATGTCTCAGCTGAGCCCAGAGGGATGAGAATGATTAGCCAGGCAAAGGAGCACTTCTTTTAGATAGTGGAATCAAACAGAGGGATGCTTTGGGTTATGTCTTGTTTAAGGAACAGACTTGTTTAAGGAATAAGCCAGTGTGGTTAGAGCAGAAAGGGTGAGAGGGCAAGAGAGCCGGAAAGTCTGGTGGGAGGGTCAACCACCCAGCACCTCTTAGGCCAGGGTAAGTTTTGCCTTTACCCCGGAGGCAAACAATCTCATTGGACCAGTGTGGGCCACATGCCCTTCACTTAACCAATCACAGTGGCCTGGGTGGGTAGAAAACACTGATTGGCTAGGCTTACCAGAGGAGGCGTCATCCCGTTACAAACTTCAGAGGTTGAGGGCGCTGGTGAGCTGGTTCCCCAAAGGAAAGAAAAGTAGGAGAAAGATGCATGCAAATAACCCAATGTTCTCTATAATGTAATGGGGCCATACCTAAAGGGCAAAAATAATTGTTGCCCTCTTTCCTATTTGCAGGCAATGTTATAAATGTTCTGCATATATTAATGAATTTAGTGATTAGAACAAACCATAACCCCATGAGATATTCTTATTCCCATTTTACGGGTGAGGAACCTGAGGCCCAGAGAATTTACGTTACTTGCCCCAGATCCAAAAAGCTCACGGGGACTATGTTGGATGTGTTCCAGAGCTACCAAGGAGCCAGACATGACTTGGCCCATATTGGTACCCCAGATATTTTGTTCATCCCTTCATTCAACAGATGTCTTTGTTCAACAAATATTGGTCACCTACAACGTGCCAAGCACATGGTTTTTTCGGTGCTGGGAATGGAGCAATGAACAGAGAGCAGACAAAGTCTGTGCCCTCCCAGAATGCACATTCTCCTGGAAGAGACAGAAAATAAATAATAAATATGTGAATTCTTTATTATATTAGGAGTTGATAAGTGATAATGGGAGCAGCGAGGGGTAGGACAGGCTTGTAAGCTTAAATGGGATGGTCATGGTAGGCCTCCTGAAGAAGATAAAGATTTGAGCAAAGACTTGCAGGGGGCAGGGAGTAAGTGAACAGCTGGTAAAGAGTGTTTGGGCCAAGGGACAAGCAGGTACAAAAGTGGAAGCATATCTAGTGGGTTCCAGGAAAGGTGTGAAAGCCAGAGTGGTTGGAGGGCAGATGGAGGACTCAGAAGGAGCTGTAGTAGTAGGAGGTAGGCCTCCATGTATGTTCAGGAGACCTGAAGAAATACACAAAGCTTTCTAGAAACCCTTGTCACCTGGTATATCCATTCAGTATTATTAAGAGATGAAGCTGAAGGGGCAGATTTCTGCTTGGGGTTTGCTCTATCAGTCTGGCTTCACAACAAAGGGCTGGAGAGCTACTGCTTGTAGAAATTTAATTTTTTTAAGGGTTTTCCTAGGTGATAGAGTTCCAGAGATGAGGCACAGACCCTGTCCCAGCCCTCAAGAGAACTGTCTGAGGCCCAGGCAGACACAGTACCTGCCCCTGCACCCTCACCCCCATGACAGCCATGTCTGTAGTGTTGGCCCATCTATGTCATCAGGAAAAGGAAAACAGATCTGGAAGAAGAACGGAGCCATCTATGAAGGGGACTGGAAGTTTGGGAAGCGAGATGGTTATGGCACGCTCAGCCTTCCTGACCAAGAGATGGGAAAGTACAAGAGAGTATACTTGGGCTGGTGGAAAAAGGATAAAAAAGCTGTAAGTAGTTCCCATCATGCCCTGGGGCTTAGGCCAGGCTTGGGACTGGGGCTGGGGTGGGTGTTGAGGGGAGGAGGACAGAGGGACCACATAGGTGGGAGAAGGAAGGGGTGGGGGAGTCCTCAAGGTTTCTCAGAACAAAACCCAGGAAACAGGAAGCTGGAGGAGAGGGCCCAGGGAGGAGCCCGTGAAACCCTATGGTTACAAGAAGCCAGCCAGGCTGTGTGGGGGCCAAGTCTCCACCCCCTACCCCCATTCATTTCCTGGCTTTCTCTTCCCTGGGCAACTCCTTCTCAGAATCCCCCTTCTGTTGGGCCAGGATAAGAGGCAAGTAGGAAACGTAGAAGCAAGGAAACAGAGGCCACACCCTTGGCCAAAGGATGAGAGAGGAAGAAGGTCCTGGTGGTAAAAGCCACCCAGACACATGGCCTCAACCCTTAAACACCTGAATCCTAACCATAGACCATGGGTACAGATAACAATACAATACTGCTATTGAACAACTGCTATTGCAATCCTGGCACAGATATCTGGTACTTCAACTACTCTCACAACATCATTATTACTGCTATCATTATTATCATTCCCATTTTATTGATGAAGAAGCAAGCTCAGAGAGGTGAACTGTCTTGCCTACCGTCACACTCCAGGCAAGTAGTAGAGTCCAGGATTTCATGATCTGTGCTAGCAAAGTGTTTATTGGCCATTGAGGAGAGAGATCCCAACGTAAACAATTTATATTTAATATGGTGTCAAGATAGAGGTTTTCACAGGGAGCTCAGAGGAAGATAATTGAGCATTCAGGGCTGGTTTCCTGTAAGAGGTGATACCAAAAGATACAAAGAGTTAACCAGTGAGGAAAAAAGGAGAAGGGGAAGTAGGTAAAAAGGCAGCAGTTGCAAAGGATTTGTCAAACAGCAAGGTGTGGAGCTCACAAGGTTGGTGGGGGAGGGGAGGAGGGAACCTTGGGGGTTATGTGGGGAATCAGGATTTTGTGGGGTGGACTTGGGTTTAACCCAGCCTCCTAGGTTCGATCTATGCTGAGGCATGAGTCTCTGTGGTTGTACACTAAGTGTGGTGGTGGTCCTTTTTCTGAGAGAAAGTCCAGAGCTTTGATCTGATTCCCAAGGACATGGGCGATGTTTAAATAGGGTCAGATGAGAGTTGTGAAGATGGGGCAAACATGATCAGCTGGGCAATGTAAAGATCCTTCTAGCTGCGGTATGGAGGACGCATGGGGCAGGGAGAATGGGAGAGTGGAAGAGGCAGACCAGTGAGGAGGGGAGAAACGGTGGGCTGCATGAAGGCGGTGGCAGAGGCTAGAGGGAAATGGACAGCCTGGGGTCTTTTACAATACACGACCATCAGCTTGGAGGTAGGAAGTAAAGAAGAAGGCCAGGTGTGTGGCTTAGGTGCTGGGGAGGATGGTGGAGCTTTCCTGGTGGTGGACAGGGACACTTTTGTGCTTTTAGGGTTATGGGATCCAGTTTTTCGGACCCAGGAAGTATTACGAGGGTGAGTGGTGTGGCAGCAAGCGCAGCGGGTGGGGCCGCATGTACTACAGCAATGGTGACACCTACGAGGGCCAGTGGCGGAACGACAAGCCTGACGGGGAGGGCATGTTGCGCCTGGGTAAGTGCCCTGCCCCGCCCCACAGCCCCGCCCCCAAGGCCCTGCAAGCCCCGCCCTGCGTGACCACGCCCCTGCAAAGCCTGCTCCAGCGTGGGTTAAGGTGGATAACATGCCCAGATCGCTGCCCTCAGGGCACTTATACTCTAACAATAAACATCAACAATTAAGGCATTTTGTTGTGGTCATAATCATCATAGCCCACATTTACACAGCATTAAACTCATTTAAACCTCACTACCATCCTGTAAAATAGGTCCTCTTATCTCCACTTCACAAATGCACTGAACAGGAGGAGGTTAAGTCACTCACTCGAGGGCAACACGGCCTGTTAGTTGTAGATTCATAAGTACTAGGGAATTCTTGAAAATAGGAAGGTGTGTTGGAGAGTGACAAAGGTGTTGGGGACAGGGACTATTTAGACTGACTTCGAGTCAGAGCGCTTCCCTGAAGGGATGACGTTTGAATGGGGACCTGAGGTAAGAGAAGAGCAGATAACCTTTTTCAGCGAGGGAAGAACATTCCCAGGCAGAGGGGAGAGCAGCCAGAAACCCTCGTGAAGGTCAGGGCCTAATCCACTCTCTACACAGCAACAAGAGTGAGCTTTTTGTAGTTTGGACCCACCTTCTCACTGCCCTGCCTCTGATCTTTCCATAGCTCCCTATTGCCCTCGGACCCAGTTCAGAGCCCGTCGTTCCTGTAGTCTGTGGGGCCCAGTCCTTGCCCCTCCAGTTCTGCCTCCACCTCTCTTCCCCTGGGTTCCCTGGGTTTTGGTCATACAACTTCCTTTGTTTCTCCCACACTCCCCTTGCGCTGCTGTCCCTCTTCCAGATCTCTGCACTGTGCCCTCCTCAGATAAGCCTTTCCTGTCCACTCCAAGTAAAGCACATCCTCCTCATTCTACTCAGCACCTGCTCCCTTTTGCTTTTAGCACTCGGTATGCAATCTTGGGTGAGGTATTTTGCCACTGTGCCTCAATTTCCTCACTTGTAAAATGGGAATCACAGTAGACCTACTTCATAGGGCTGTGTTGAGGATTAGAGGGTCTGTATAAGGTGCTTAGAAGAGGGCCTGGCCCCATTGCAGGATGTCTATAATGCTGGTATCATTGTCCTTCCAGACAGTGAACTGTATAAGGACTGGGACTGTGTCTGTTTTATTCCATGGCACTGCTTCCCATTGCCTGACACATAGTAGGTGCTCTGGGTGAGGACAGAAACCGGAGCCCAGTCTTCTGAAAATCAAGACTCCAACTTCAATGCACTTCGGCCAAACTGAGGCACTGGGACAGCTGTGGAGTGTTTAGGCTAGCAACTTCTGCCCGTCATTCTCAATCCCTTTTGCACCCAGCTCTGTGTCTGCTTTCACAGAGCATCTACTGGTAATAGCCTGTATTTAGTGAGCACTTGCTATGCGGCTCTAAGTGTATCATTTTTAATGGCTTGGACTCTGGAACCAGGCTATGTTGGTTTAAATCCTGGTTCATGCTCTTACTAGCTATATGACCTGGGATGATTTGCTTAAACACTGTGAGTCAATTTTTGCATCTGTTACTTAAGGATTAAAAAACTTAACTAGGGTTATTATGAAGGTGTAATGTTTATATTTGTAAAGTGCTTAGCATGGTGCCTGACACGTGATACTAAATGTTCAATGATATTACTACCTCACACTTACATGTAGCAGATGTGAGCAAACTATGGCTCTTGGACCAAATCCAAATCCAGCCCAACATGTACTTTTTATAAAGTTTTATTGACACACTGACTTGCTCTCATTTACATATCCATGGCTGCTCTCACGCTGCAGTGGCATTACTGAGAATCTGCAACAGAGATCCTATGGTCCACAAAGCTGAAAATGCTAACTGCCCCTGTACAGAAAAAGTTTGCTGACCTCTGATCTAGATACCCCCTAAAGTCCTTTCCACATATGGACTCTTCACAACAATTGTATGAGGTAGATGCTACTCCTATCCCATTTTACAGATGAGGAAACAAGACAAAATGGTTAAGTGACTTGCCCAAGGTCACACAGCTAGTAAGTGTCTGAGCTGAAAAGTGTTAGCTTTATTATTATTTTTTTACACTACCATCACCACCAGAGGATAAGTAGAACTGATTTGGGATCAAGAGCATGGGCTCCTGGGATGAACAGGCCTTGGTTTCAAAACCTGCCTTTGCCACTTCCTAGCTCTGTGACCTTGAGCATGTCAAACTCCCTGCAAGCTTCATCTGTAAAATGAGTCCATCATCCTTCATAGAACTGTATTTCTGGTGAGTGAGGTCACAAATACAGCAAAGATCCAGGCACAGAGTAAGTGCTAAGAAAACATTGCCTATTCATATTATCAGCTATGTTTTTTACAAACAGAAAATAATGTTCATCCAAGTTCAAGTAAGTCATGGAGGCAAAATGTGAACTAGGTCTGATTCTAGAAGTCATGGACACCCAGGAATAGGTCTGTCATCCCAGACCCCACTCCACCCAGCTCAGTGGTGAACCTGGATTCCTTCTGGCTTCCTGGTGGGCAATGATGTCCAGCCTGGAGGTGGTAGAGGGTCCAGCCCATGTGGTGGAGGGACTGGCCTGGTAGTCTGGCCTGGTTTGGTGTACCCCACCAACACCTTCCTGTCCTTCCCCCCAGAGAACGGAAACCGCTATGAGGGCCACTGGCAGAGAGGCATGAAGAATGGGTCGGGGCGTTTCTTCCACCTGGACCACGGTCAGCTATTTGAAGGCTTCTGGGTGGACGACGTGGCCAAGTGTGGCACACTGATTGACTTTGGCCGCGATGAGGCTCCTGAGCCTACCCAGTTCCCCATTCCTGAGGTGGGCAGCTCTCACCAAGGCTCTATGGCCACACCCAGGGAGAGACAGCAAACAGCATCTCCAGCTGCATCCTGCCTGGCCTGGCCCAGCCCAGCCAGGGAACGACAAGGTTTTGTTTCAGTCAGGGCATCCCCAAGGAAGCAGGCAGTACCCCAAAGCAGGCAGCACCCACCAGGCAGGCAGCCTGTACCTTCCACACTTCCCAGTCCAACCCATTATTGCTTTCCTCCAGGTCAAAATTCTAGACCCTGATAGTGTGCTGGAGGAAGCTTTAGCCTTGTTCAGGAAGTCGGAGGATGAAGAAGGAAACTGATGCCAGGTGAGGGACAGGTACCAATCCACCCTCTGATATGGCTGAGGCAGCTCCTGGGGTCTCCTGTGGCCACAGGGCTCAGGGACAGGACCAGAAAGGGTGGGCTTCTTGCCTCCTACAGTCCAACTGGTCAGTTTTGGTCTTGGAAGACAAGTTCACTCCACTTCCATCCAGATTCTCCCATTTGCACCCTGGGCTTGCTGGGAGGAACACTGGATTGGAGTTGGGTGGTCTGCTCACCTTGAATGCCCCTGACGGTGGTTTGCCCCAGGCCTCTACCTGCACATCTGTCCAGCGGGCTCTCATCCAGTCCTCACCCCTTCTGCTGTGGGTGCAAGAGGGGTGTAAGAAAGGGGTGCAGCTTTGAAACACCAGCTCCCACCACCCCTTGTTCCTGCAGAGAGAACACCAGAACTTCAGGGGAAATTCAAGTCCATGCCACCCAACTGCTTGGACTGGAGCTGCTTCCACTGAAGGGAAGCATGATGACTCAGGCACATACTCGGCACCCTCAGAGAGCATCTCAACCTCCTGGCACCAGGCCATCCTTTGCCAGTAGGGGGCCAGTGTTTCTCTCCCCAGCTGGCCTCAGGGACCCTCTTGTTTAAGCCTTCATACTGGGCCCCGACCCCCGAGCCTGTGAGAATTAAGAACCTGTGGGCATTGGTCCAGGGCCTATGGTGTATGGCGGGGCGTGGAGGGTGGGGCGGCAGGTGAGCCTTAGGTGGATTTCAGGTAGAGAAGAGGGAAGATGTGCCCATAGACTGCATAGATTTACTCTGGGAGAGGAAAAGATGGTGTCTCCAGGTCTTGACCTCTGAGCAACTCCAGAGAGGAGAAAGAGCCTGCATCTGATCACACTGATCACTAAGATACGGGGTTAAAACCTGACGTGGCTTTTCAACGCAGGAGCTCAGCCTTGGAATCCCGTGGGAGATAAAAGCTATGGATGCTCATGTCCCACATTTAGAGATACTCCTCTGTCTGGGGTGAGGTCTGGGACTTCAAAAGTTCCCCAGATGATTCTGTTGTGCAGCTGGGGTAGAGAACCCTGGACTTACTGGCTTTGTGAACCTAAGCAATAAAGTTCAGTTGCCCCATCTGCAAAATGGGACTTAAGAGATCTCATAGGGGTGTTTTGAGGATTTGCTTACAGATGTAATAACAATGAATAACATATATTGAGGTTAATGGTGAAGCAGGTATCTGGTAAGGGCTTTGCATAATCCTAGACAGCATTCCTGAGGTCAGGACTCTTACATAATGGTTAGGAATAGGAGCTCTGCAGTCAGACCACCTGCCTGTAAGTCCCAGTGGTGATTTATTAGCTGTGTGTTCTTGGGTATGTCACCCACCCTCTCTATTCTCCAGGTTTCCTCCCCGCTAATATGGGACAGTAACGGTCCTTACCATGCAGGGTTACTGTGGTTACCATGAGGATGAAATGTGGTGTGGTTCTAATCCAAGAGTGATTTTTGTCTCCCTCCCTCCCTGGGGACATTTGGAGCTATCTGGAGATATTGTGGTTGTTACAACTCAGTAAAGAGTGCTCCTGGGCCTAGCAGGTAGAGGCTGGAAATACTGCTAAACATGCTATGGCATAGACACTCTACAAAAGAATTTTTCAGTCCAACATAGGAATGTAACCCCGATGTTTGTAAAGTGTCCTCATTAAGTGCCTGGCACATAGTAAAGCCTCTATAAATGCTGATACAACAGAGGTTCTCTCTGCCCTCTAAATCATAAGTGGGATGGTCTGACTCCAGGCATACTTCTGTCTGCCACCTCTGATACCAGGAAGCTGAGCCTGACCAACTTGGGACACAAGAATTAACCAAACAGATAGCATTCACTCATGCCAGGCCCCTCAGGTGGCCTCTCCCAGGACCCCTTAACAACCTGAGGTGTCTGGCTGTTATTAGTGCCATTGAGAAGAGACTGAGGTTCATGCCACCAAGCTAGAAAGTGATTGTACTCAAATTTAGGTCTATCAGCTCTCACGAGGTATAACAGTGGCAGTGTGTATACAGGCTACCATTTGTTAGAAAGAGGGTGTGTATGTGCTTGTTTATGTATATCTCTCTCTAGATGGGAACACAATTAACTGGCAAAAATGACTGAGTCTGGGGAGAACTGGGAACCTGGGAACAGGATGGGAGAGCAACTTTTCACTGTTGTATTTGGAACCTGTGAATGTATTATCTATTCAAAATATAAATAAAACTAAAATGAGAGAAACTGTGTCTTTAACTACCAGTGTTTCCTAAATTGGGATTTGAGAGTACCTAGGGTGCTAGTTATAGATAGATTGCAGAGACATACCCAGACTAACTTGAATCTGAATCTCCAGGGGTAGGGCTTGAATACCTGCATTTTTCAAGTCAATCTGGTGATTCTTGAGTTCATGCAAATTTAGGTTCGTATCACCAAGCTAGGGATTATTCGTTGGATCCCAGTCTCTGCAGAAGCAGGGAGTTATCTTAGGCGGTGCACAAAGACGCCCAGGTCTTCTCTGGGATGCAGTGGGGGGTTTCACACAGGGGCCTGCCCTGTCTTACTCGGTACAGGCAGAGGGCCATCCAGGGAGACAGGAGAGGGGGGAGTCCTGGTGCATGTAATGTGGCTCCAATAGGAAAAAGGAGGGCCCCAGCCCCACTCAGCCCACAAAACTCTGTTAGCATGTCTAAGTCTGCAGAGATGGGGAAGAGCTTAAGGCCACGTTTTCCCCCAACCAACTTCCACTTCAGCCAGAGCACTTTGTAGAAAACCACTTTCTATACTGGATCACTGGGACAGACAGAGGTCTCAAATTCAAAGGCACATGGGGGCCAGGCTAGTAGTATAAAGGAAGCTGGCCTAGCATTGCAAAAGGGAGCAGTGGGGACTGTGGCAAACACATTTCTGAGGAAGAGGGTTGCAGTAACTCAGCCCCTGCTCATTGTTGCTCTGCAAGAAGGGAGGCCCATTGCTCCTGCTGCTGGGTCTTCCAATTTTTTTTAAAACTTTAACTGCTATTTATTTAGGGTCTTCCAATTTTTTAAGCAAAGCTAGAATCAGCCCATGCAAGATTTTTATGAATGCCTACGTTCTGAGCCAGACTTCCCAGGTTTGAATTCTGGCCAATTACATAACCTGAGCATCAATTCCTGTCATCTGCAAAATGGAGATGAATATTCCTGCCAAAATGTACCATCTGATTGAAATAATGAGCAAATATCAAGGAAACCAGACTTAGGCAGCATTCTACAAAACCAGGGGCCTGAACTCTTCCAAACTGTCAATGTTACAAAGGACAAAAAGAAAGGCTGTTCCTAATTAAAGGTGCCTAAAGGGACAATATAACTCAATGCAACACATGACCCTGGATGGAAAAAACACTGGTGAGGACATGATTGGGACAAGTGGGAAATTGAACATGTTATATTATAGTATTGGCAGCACTTATTAAGCCTGGTTTTCCCTAAAGTTGAGGCCCAGAGTCTCCTTTCTGAAAAGTGTAGGTTATTAATCAAGTAGCATTTTTATTTATCTACATCTGTTATTACAGTGAATAGGCAGATGCCTCCTTTCACATTCTTCAAAAACCAAACTGAGGTGAGGAGGGAACATGCAAAGCAGTTCCTAAGATACCTAAGAAAACAGGGGGATAAAATCTGCCTTCCAGTGATGAAGTTCTTCCATGTCATGAGAAAGTTCCTGGAGAAAGTAAAGAGGAACAGAGGCTATCTGGAGCACCAGCTTGGCTATCAAAAGGAATTAGGAAAGCTGACCCAGTGAGACCACCTGTTTGAAAAGATAATAATACTGTATCAGTGTCAAACTTCCTGAATTTGATTATGGAATAAAGTTATGTAGGGGAATGTCCTTTGTTTTAGGAGGAAGTATTTAGGCATAAAGGGTGATATATGCAACTAATGCACAAGTCTAGGGAGAAACATGGTTGAAGCTCATCATTCACGGTTTTAGTATTTGCGAATTTGCCTACTTGCTGAAGTTGAACGAGGCAACACTCTACCTTCTTGTTCAATCTCTCATACTGTAAACAAGTGTCCTCTGCACAGTCTATTTACAGCCACATTTTTCACATTTGGTGCTTTTTGTTGATGATTTCAGTTTACAAAAAAGGGCCTTCCAGAGAAAATACCTATGTTAAATAAGCTTCAAGCAGTCATGAGCTATAGTGCTACTGGCCATGAGTCCAATGTTAATGAATCAACAATTTGTATTAAAGGTGTCTTTAAACAGAAACACATAAAACAAGGTTACATACTGACTGACTGGCAAACATGTGATCGGAGACTCACAGGAACCAAACCCCGTACTTCTGCTACAAACAATGGTTCAAGTGTTCCACTAATTCAGTGTTCAGTGACTTATAGAACATGACTGCTGTGAATAGCAAGAATTGAATGTATATGTATTTCAGTTACTACTCTTGGAACTTTTTTGTATGTTTGAAATTTCTCAAAGTAAAAGTCAAAAAAATTTTACTTAGAGGCTCACCTGATTGGGGCACTGGGAGATATACCAGGCAGTCCAGACCAACAAATACAGACATAAGAGGATATGTCCCTTTTGAGTATATTTATGTGTTCTCTCTCTCTCTCTCTCTCTCTCTCTCACACACACACACACACACACACACACACACTACTCGATGCTGAATGGGGAGGGGATCAAGATGCAAAGGACACACACACACACACACACACACACACTACTCGATGCTGAATGGGGAGGGGATCAAGATGCAAAGGACAGGAAGCATCCAGGTGGCACTGGCACAAGGGAGGAGGAAGGACAAAGGGAGCATTTGTCCCTGCTCTGGCTCCCGGTGGTGGCCTCCAAAGAGGAGGTGAACCCAGAGCTGGAAAAACAGGAAGTGCTTATTGTCTTAGGGGAAAGTTTCAAAGTGCAGTAATTTCTCTTTAAAAAAAACCTCTTCCCTCCACATTTGGCCCCCTGATGAAAGCCCAGCCCCCTTGGCAGGCTGTCCTTGAGGCCAGGCAGGGCAGAGTCGTGGGGGAGGGGATAAGGCCAAAGCTCTGAGGCATCCAGGCCTGGGAGGGCTTAGGCATAGTGGCTCCCGGGTGTTGGGGGATGGTCCCCTCTGTGGTCCAGCTGGTCCTGCAAGCGGGCGAACTCAGCCAGCTCGTTGAGCTCCTGGAACTGTCGGTCCGTTTTATGGCTGACCAGTGAGCGGTAGAAGTGGACAGCAAAGACGATGAAGACCAGGCCAAAGGGGACCATGATGGTGGTGGAGGCGATGGCGGCAGCTTGGCCTGGGGTGATGGTATCACTGCTGACATTGGCGGCCACACCACCAGCTGGGGGCTTGCTGGTGGGCCGCAGCTGCCCCGGCTGCTTCTTGAGGGGCAAGAACTTGACCCAGCAGAGCAGCACAACCTCGGCCAGGAAAAGCAGTGTACCGATGACAGTGGAGAATGCCCAGGCCAGCTCGATGTGGCGGTGCATGCGCTCGTGGGGCGACTCCTTGACTGAGTTGAGATTGTGCACGTTGCTCACCGCCTCAATGTTGGGCAGGATGCAGGTGCTGATCATGAGCGCAAACAGGTGCACGGCCACCAGCACCGTGGTGCAGGCGCTGAAGGCAATGAGCAGCCCCGGCGGATAGTCGTGGTCAGCGTCCAGCTGTACCTCCACCATGGCCACCTGAGGGGCAGGGAAGAGGTGGGCTGAGTGCCAGGCTGATCACAGCCCAGAGAGCTGCACTGAAATCCTCCTCTCATCAAGCTCTGGGTCCCTGGGCAAGTTGTTTTGCCTCTCTGACCCTTGGTTTCTCTATCTGTATAATGGGGATAATAAGACCCACACATTTAGGGTTGAGAAGTGGCAGAAAAGTACTGGTGAAGAAAACAGGTTTGGAGCCCATGTTGCCAGGATTTGAATCCCAGGTCTGGTCTGCTACCCACTAGCTGCATGTCCTTGGTAAGTCATTGAACTTCTCTGAGCTTTAACTTTCCTAGTTGTAAAACAGGGATATCATATTAGTTCACAGGATTATTTTAACAATGAGAGCCCGTGGTACATGGTAAGAATTCCCAAATACTAACCACTCTCATTACCATCCAGCCAGGTAAAAACCGAACACCACAAATGGTTAAAACGGCAAGTTTTATGTATAGTTTCTATGATAAAGTTTGCATTAAAAAACAACAACAAAAAAAGCAACCGCTAACAACGTTCCCCGTTGGCCCCACTTGCATTCCGAAGCAGAGGCTCCACCTTCATGTCCTGTTCTGGGGACATGGAGAGCAATGGGGGTAGAGATGAAGGCCCTCCAGGTCATGCCTATGGCCCCTTGCGAGAACAAAACACACCTTCCCACTGGGAACCAAGAGACTTCCTAGAAGAGACTGGCTCTAGCCTGGTACTGGGGTGTGGTCAGCAAGACCCAGGGCTGTCCCCTCCACCAGCCCTGGCTCTAGGCCCCAGGGCTGACACACTAACTGCTCCCCAGTTCCTGGAGACCTGCAGATCTGGGGTCACCACGGGCACACTCCAGCCTGCCAACTGCTGCTTCTCACCTGGGCCTTGCAAATCACCCCCATGTGAAAGGGCCAGCTCATCAGATCTGGGCCTGCAATAGCGGGCAGTGGGCACACTGCCAGGGCTGAAGGCACTGGGGCAGCAAGTGGCAATGGCAATACCATTAAGGACAGTGATCCTTCATGGAGTGTTTGCTACCTATGTGCCAGGATTAGAGAGGGCGAGGTCTTAGACTGAAATGTACCCACGAGCCCCACACCAGTCTGCCCTGATGCCTCCCTACTCCTGGAGAGGAGGGTGGGCTCCTTCCTTCCCCACCAGAAATGCCTGGCCCTGCTGGTTTTCACATCTTGTACCACTGCAACTTTCCTACAGCCGGAAAGGCAGTCAGTGTGGAACAGTGGTAACGAGCACAGGCTCTGGAGCCAGGCTGCTTGGCTTCAAACCCTGACTCATCTGCTCTTTAGTAGGCTGTGTGACTGGCAAGTTCCTTCAACTTTCTGGGCCTCAGTTTCCCTATCTGTAAAATGGGAATAATGGTACATGACTCAGAGGGTCATCATGAGGACTGAGTTAATCCCATGTAAAACATTAAGTGCTGCCTTCCTGGTGCAGGGGTAGGTACACCTGGGCTGAGAGAACCTTAGGGCCGCACTGGCAGGCCTGGGTCCTGGCTCCAGAAACAGTCCTGCTGCCCTGTGTGACCTTGGTCAAGACCTTCCCTTCTGTATCTATCAAAGGAGGGAACATGACTAAGATCACAGTGTAGCACTGGTTTGAGAATCTGGTAGAGATCATGGACACCCTCCTTAGAACACCAAGTATATACATTCACAGAACTTTTCAGACAATTTCAATAGGATTCACAGAATTTTGCTGTAGAATTCCCACAACTGATAATTTGTATGAACTTTTCAGCCCAGGAGTTTACAGGATCTTTGGTGGCCTAGTGCCAACCCCAAGAATTCTTAACACATGCAATGTTGAGGGGCATGGCATTAGCCTCAGTCTGTCCCCAGGCCTGCCCACACTGAAAAGGGGGGTACCCCATCAGCGTGTGCCTCCTGCCACCTCCCCACCCCCAGCACTTCCTCTTCCTGTTTTGGCCTACTGCCTCAGAACCTGAAACCAGAGATGGGACAAGCAAGAGAGCCGTGCTGCTTGGCTGCCTCAGATCCCCAGGCTATTTATTCATTCACTGAAAATGTCCGGACCCATTAGGTGCATCAGGCCCTGCACTGGGCACCGGAGGTGTATACAGGGTAACATACAAAGGTAACCAATCTGTTCCCTTACCTGGTATCTCCCCCTCTGCAGGGCCATTAGGAGTGAACTGGCTCTTCCATTTACAAAGCTAGTGACCTTGGACAAGTATTTCAACCTCTCTGTGACACATCTATAAAATGGGGGCCTACTTCTTATGGTTGTTATGGGGATTCAATGATTTAATTAATATAAGCTCTCAGAACAAGACCTGGCATATAGTAAGCTTCATAAAGTGTCAATGATTATTAGCAACATCAGTTTATTCTTTTACACATGAGGAAACTGAGGTGCAGAGAGGTGATGTCAGCTGTCCCAAGGGTTATACAGCTATTCAGTGGGGGATCGAGGCTCAAGTCCACTTGGCTCTAAAGGCCATGTGCAAAAGGGGTAACAGTGTTTTTCCACATGGTTACCACTATGGAGTGAACATCTGTGTCTCCTCTGGAATCCTAACCCTTGATGTGATAGTGTTAGGAGGTGGGGCCTCTGGGAAGGGTTTAGGTCATGAGGGGTGGAGCCTCAGGATGGATCAGAGCCCTTATAAAGAGATGCCAGAGATCCCCCCCTTGCCCCTCCTGCCATGGGAGGACACAGCGAGTAAATAGCATCTATGTACCCTCACCAGACACCCAATCTTCTGGCATCTTGATCTTGGACACCCAGTCTCCAGAACTGTGAGGAAATAACCATCTGCAGTTTAGGAACCACCCAGTCTACGGTATTCTGTTATAGCAGCCCAGATGGACCAAGACAGTTGCTGAGGAGATTAAATGAGGTCTTGACATGTAAGAACTTAACACAGGGCCAGCCCACAGGAGGTGCCAGCCCACAGGAGGTGCTCAATAAATCTTACACAGAAAAACACAGGGCTTTGAGTGGAAGCAAAATGGCCCCCAGATGCCTTCTGCTCAGGCTGGAGGAAGCTGATCCAATGAGTCAAGGGTTCTACCCTTTGTGGGGGGGTGAGGGGCTTAGACCCACTACTTGAGAGCCCTGTCTGCCCCATCTCCAAACCCTGGGCACAAGAAGAGTATGTGTACCCAAACACATCTGGCCAGGTAGTGACCTCAGCAGGACAGAGACCACCCATCCCACACCATTTGCCACATCCACAGGATCCAGGGTCAGAAATTGTGGTTGTTGGGACATACCTGGCCTGGGAACATTAGAACTGGTCAGCCTTCCCTGAGGTGGGTGGCTCAGCCTGTGACAATGGGCCCTCCAAAGAAGAGGAAGGAGCCTGCTGTGGAGCTCTGGAAGAAACCCCATCACCCTGGAGGGACCCTACACTTCCTGGAACTTTGACCATGTGGGCTGGCTGTAGGTACTGTTCCCACATGAGGGACTAAATTCAGTGCCATGGGACCATGCAAAAAATGATTCAGAGTGAGGAGGGAATGGATGGCACAAATCTTGGATCTTGATGAAAACTGTTCACAGGGATTTAAAAGCCATTACTTTTTTCATAACGTTGCTTGCTCGGGATATCTCCCTTCTCAGGGGGGCCTCGTGGAATCTGGCAGGCGACTCCCAGGGCTCCAGCTGAGTCCCAGAGAACAGATCAGATTGCAAGCAGCTTCGCAAGGTAAATATAGACGCAGTGCTAGGCCCTTTAACCTAAAATAAACAGCTCCCAGCCAGCCACGGGCCTGCTTGAACCTGGCCACAGTCCTAAAGGGACAGGAGGGGTAAGAGACCGCCAGCCCTAACTCACACTGGTCCGTGGACCCCCGCAGGGGATGTTGGGACACCAATTTCCAATCATGAGCCAAGAGGACCATGTGATTCTGCCATGTGCAGGGCCTGGCTGCCTTTGTCAGGCTTTTGCCCACTATGTCCAAATGCCAATCACTTCTTGCTCCTTCAAGGCTCCATGGGGACCCCGTCACCTGGTGCCTGGCAGCCCAGGCCCTTCTGAGGCAGCCTTCCTGGCCTGGCCTGACCCCAGCACTCACAGCCAGGAGATACAACTCTCCTTTCTCAAGCCTGGGCTTCTTCTGTTTCCTCTGTTAGGAGATTGGGTGGCTACAACCTGAAACACGAAGGCTGCCAAGCCACAGTCACCCAGGGTCACCCAGAGCTGTCTGAGCCTGAGGGCCCCACCCCAAATGCAAACACTATCTGTTAAGATAGGACTGAGGCCTTGTCCAGTGGTTTACAAACTTTTCTGACCACTATGGTCCAGTACTCCAAATATTTCTATAAATAGACACATACATATATATAACAGAGACAAGTTTTCCCAAACAATGGTTATCCCTACAGTATGCTAATATAGCCTATTCTTACAACATGCAATGCTTGCTGCTTTCTATTTCATTCTATTCTTATCCCAATAAAAAATAAATTGCTGGTTGCAATTCACTACATCTATGTCATAAGCCACTAACAGGTTGAACCTGCAGATTTGTGGGGAGAGAACAGTCATTGGTTTTCGCTTCATCTGGCTAATTTGTAATCCTTTAGGTTTTATCTTCTGAGTTACCTTGTTCATAGCCTCTCAGGTGAGGATGAGTTGTTCATTCATTCATGGAAAATATTTAATGAGAATGTGCTATATGCCTGGAGGACTGTATGCTGGACAGAGAGCAGGAATTAAGATGGCGAACTAAACCCTGTCCCAGGGAGATGATAGGCACTAACTATTTAGGCCAAAGAGTATTTTGAGACTGTGTTTAGTGTCCCTCAGGCAATGCTCCTCCACCTTCATACTTTTCTATTTCTCTTTGTTTCTCCAACATCCAGCCTGGGCCTCATTCCTCCAGGGGCATCAGTAAAAGATCCTTGAAGGAATAAATGAAGGTAAGGCCTGCTCTTGTGCTATTTTAGCCCAGTGTCTCTTAAGTGTCTGGTGGAGAATCCTAGGTGATCCATCAGTAATTGGAAGACCATATTAG